GAAGATACTCAAAATTCCTATAGGCGAAAATAGAACAGTGATTTCGCCTACCCTCATCATCGTCCAAAGTTCATCGCACGGTCACGATTGTTCAGTAGTGTTTTATTTCTCTTTTTTTTTCTACAAATCGGAATGATATGAAATTTGGAGCATGTGTTCATCAAAAATAAGTGAATTCAGGAAAAATATTAAAAAAAAAATTTAACATGAAATAAATTGATCAAAATAACCCCCCAAAAATTTCAGAGGTATTTTGATCATTTTTTTGCGAATTACTTTTTTTTATATTTTTATTAGGTGTGCCTCACTAAGATGTACACACGCTCCAAATTTCAAATCATTCCGATTTGCAGAAAAAAATGAAACACTACTGGACAATCGCGACCGTGCGATGAACTTTGGACGGTCATGAGGGTAGGCGAAATCACTGTTCATTTTCGCCTTTAAGCGTTGGAAAAACTTCAAATATATATATAGAAAAAAGCTAAAGAGTGCAGCCTAGCTTAGATAAGATAAATGCGTCAACGGCCCAGATCGAATCTGTGCTGACTTGACTATCACGGATGTCTGGTAGTGTTTGAATTTTAATTTTTTTTTTTATAAATCCAAATCACTTGAAATTTTAGGTGTATGTTCTTCTCATCAAGGCGCACCTAATAAAAATATAAAAAACATTATCCACAAAAACTTAATTGACCAAAATACCCCCGAAACTTAAAGGGACATTTTGGTCAATTTTTTCATGTAAAATATTTTTTTAATATTTTTGGAATATTCACCTATTTTTGATAAACACACGCCTAAAATTTTAAGTGATTTGGATTTGTAGAAAAAATTTAAAATTCAAACACTATCGGACATCCGTGATCATCAGATCGGTCCAGATTCAATCTGGGTTGTTGGCGCATTTAGCTTATCTAAGCTAGGCTGCATATCCTATCTTTATCCATATATATATATATATAGAAAGCTTTTAATTACTATCTAATAAAATGATCCAGTCCCATAAGCATAAAGATTACAAGTACCTACATATAGGCATAATACAAATAGCTATTAAGCCTCTTACAAGGTTAGAATTAAACAATTCAATATTATTATGTTTACGTGACAGTCGACACAAAAGGTTTACTGACTCAATGTTAAGAATAGTTGAATCGAATTTATGCATTGGTCCCTTCTACTTTAATTGCTTTCCGAATTTTTCAGTTTCTCTTAGAGACCCAAACCTACTCAAAGTACTTACACTAAACTTGAAAACACAAGGGTTTGACATGAACCCTGAGTCACAAAATATAGAATTAATATATAGAAGTTGTTATAAGGTTATGAACACGCTTAGTCCGAATGTGTTAAATATTGATACTAAAGGGCAAACTTTATTCTTCCATACCAACATGGAAAAATCCAATACTGTAATACCCAAATCTATAGATTGGTCCCAAATAAATCTACCAGAAACCTGGTCCATTCATAATGAAAATCAGCACTATAGGACTCCTATAAATACAAACCCAAAACAAATAATTGAGTACCCAGACGGAGACATTGAATTACAATTCAATAGTAATCGCAGAACTAGATTAAGGATTTCAGATGACAATAAGATAAAGTCACAGAAGAAAGTGTCGGCTCCTGCAAGACATTCTACTTCAACAATAGGAAATGAATTTATAATACAAGGTCTGAATAGAACAACGGACAATATTCATATACCAGAATACAAAGCTACAAATGCTAGTTCTTCAAGAACTGAGCTTACAAATTCGGACCTAGACTTCCAAGCCCTGACAATACAGAAAAAACAGAGGGTAGACTTAGAATTCATAAAAAATGACTACTTGTCAGAACAACATGCAAACATAAAAAATTGGTACTTAAAATATTTTTCAACAGAACTAATAGATGCTTGTCATAAAAGATATAATAAGTTCTTAAAAAAGTATGAGCAAAATATAAGGGTCTTTGAATGGCTTAAAGCAACCCTCAAAGAAAAGGGATATCAGATACCTAATTTTGAAATAAATACCCTTGAAAGTCAATACCAAACCTTTTATACAACTGAAGGAGAGGAGGTTCAAAGTATACATCCTCCAGAACGGGCTCTCCAAATAAAAGGAACGTCAAAGGGAAAATTAAAAACCCAGGCATCTCCCTCTAAGGTAATCCCAAGTGAACATACTCATAAGGTAGAAATAATTCCACTTATAGTAGAACAAAACAATTATACTAATATGTATCTTCAATCTCTTGGAAAACAAGCCACTAGGATAGAAAATATTATTAGTCAACCTCAAAGAAAAATAGAAGAAAAAAAGAAGGCAATAATATTCAAACCACCTCCAACAATAAATAAAGACCGATTTAATCTAAAAGAAGATAATAAAGATTTAATGAATGAATTAGTAAAAAGACTATCACAGTTAAATTTAAAAGAATCAAAGGGGAAAGGAATAGTAGTAGAATCAAAAGCCATGGTTCTTCAGGAAGAACAAATAAAACTTGATGAAATACCAAATATAGAACAAGCCTTTAAAGAAAAAAATCTTGAAATTAACAGAATAGATTATGGGAAAAAATGGAGACCTACTTCTCTTGCAAGGATGTACCATACTCGCCCTACAACCGTAGATATACAATTCGAGGAAGATCTAATTTCTCATATGGTGTCATATTCAGGAAGAACCATAGTTAATTGAAATATAGATGGAATGTCAGACCATCAGATATTAGATACCATGAGACATATGACCATGTATACTATAACATGCAAAGTCTCAGGCAGCCATGATCAAGATGTTGCTAAAGCCATTATATGTGGCTTTACTGGCTGGTTAAGGGGCTGGTGGGACTTCCATATGAGTGAAATTACTAAAAACCAAATATTAAATGCAACTCGTCTATAGGTTGTAAAAAATGAACATAATCAAGATATACCGTATAGTGAGAGCGATGCGGTAAATACACTCATATATACGATAACCCTTCACTTTGTAGGTAGCACTACCCTACTAGATGCTAGGTCTGAAGATTTGCTTTCTAATATTAGATGTCCTACACTCTCATTATAAATGGTATAAGGATGTCTTTTTCTCAACACTCTTATTAAGAGAAGACTCCAGTGCTGACCACTGGAAAGAAAAATTCATAGCTGGTCTCCCTTACCTTTTTGTAGAAAAGGTTAAGAATAGACTAAAAAATAAAAATAATGGAATAATCCCATATTCTCAGTTTACATTAGGAGAACTTTCTGCAGAAATATGTGCAGAAGGTTTAGCTCTTTCTACTGACCTAAAATTAAAAAGGCAGCTAGATAAGCAAAGAATGACAGGAAAGAAAGAATTAGGAGACTTCTGTGAACAGTTTGGTTATAATATAATTCCTTCAATTAAAAAACACTATAAGAAAAGAAATAAAAAATATAGACCTTTAAATAAACCCTCGAAAAAAGACCAAAGGAATAAATTTATTAAAAAATTTGCCCTTAAAAATAAATTTAAATCAAGGAAAAAGAAACTTCCAGTTTGTTATAGATGTGGAAAAGTTGGCCACTACAAGAGTACTTGTAGAGTAAAAAAGAAAATAGATGCTTTAGAACAAGAAGAAACTATAAAAGGTCAAATATATGATATTATCCAAATTAATGAAACTGATAGTGACTATTCAGAATCCGAGACAGAATCATTAATAGGTAAAATAGAAGATGAAAACTTCCTATGGAGTAGTTTGGAATCAAATCAGGATTCAAACCTGATGTAAAAATGAATGATTGTTTCTGTAATACCCTTATTAAAGAAGAAAATTTGATTTTAGACCTTATAGATAAAATCTCTGACCCAGGAGAAAAAACAGAAGCAATAACTCAATATATACAAGTAACTAAAGCAAAAAATAAACCTCCGCAACTGGTAAAACCCCAAGATGATTATAGTCTGTCTGAAATACTTAAAAGAATAAATAAAAGAAATAATACAACAAAAGAACCAACTATAGCAGAATTAAAACAAGAGATTAATGAAGTAAAACCTGAAATACAACAATTGAAAAACAGAATTAGAATACTAGAAATGAGTACTGAATTTTCGGAAGACGGTTCTGATGAAGAGTTAGAGTTTAATGAACTACTTAAATCTAGTAATAAAATGATACCTAGTGATAAAACGGAATCATCCGGTGAAAACCATTTAAACATAATAGATAAGGTTATTACCCAAAAATGGTATACTTTCGTACGAATAGTGGTAAAAAATGATTATAGTTTTAAATCTCTTGTTCTTATAGACTCTGGAGCTGATTTAAATTGCATAAATGAGGGATTAGTACCAACAAAATATTTTGATAAGACTACTCAAATACTCAATACAGCTGATGGAAGCAAGCTTTTAATAAACTACAAAGTAACAGATGCAATTGTTTGAAAAAATGGCAGCTGTTTTGACACACCTTTTATCATGGTCAAAGGATTGAGCCAAGCCGTCATATTAGGAACTCCATTTTTAAATCTACTTTATCCTTTAAAAATAATTAATACAGGAATAAAGACAAACCTAAATGGCCATAGAATTAAGATTGACTTTATAGACAAGCCAAAGGTAAAAGAAATAAGATATAAACAAATAGAAAATGAGTTGTTACTCCCGGAAGTTCAAAAGAAAATTGAAAATATTAAAACCCAATTAGAAAAAGAAGTCTGCAGCGAATTACCAAACGCATTCTGGAACAGAAAAAAACATATGGTAAGTTTGCCATATGAAGAAGGGTTCACAGAAAATAAAATTCCTACAAAAGCAAGACCAATACAGATGAATTCAAAATTACTAAAAATATGTAAAAAAGAAATAGATGAATTAC